GCTCGAGCGAAGGATTGCGTCTATACAAAAAGCTGAAAGAGACCGTGTTTTCACGCTCGAGCGTCGAAATCCCCGCTCGAGCGTACATCCTGGTTTGGAACACGTCATATAGTGTCCCCGCTCAAGCGTCCACCCTAGTGCGGAGCATTTCATATAGTGTCCTTGCTCGAGCGTACACCCTAGTGCGGAGCATTTCATATAGTGTCCATGCTCGAGCATCAATTCCCACGCTCGAGCGGACCTCGCGATTTCAGATTCTATAAATTCGCAAGTTGCTCCAAATCTAGGATTACTTTCTCCAGATTTTCTTTTTGGGTTGTAGGGTTTATATCTGGGGATATTTTGCTAGTTTTCTTTGATGTTTTCATTGAGTATTCAACTCATGGTTTAAGAAGCATACATCAAAGGTTTGTTTGTTTATTCTACACAAAAGAGAGAGTTGTTCTTCGGTGGATTCTGAAGAATTCGAACCTGAAGCTTTGGTGGATTCCGGAGTGGCTCATTGTCAAGACAATTCCGAGGTGAAGACGGGGTTAGAAGAGACACATAGAGGTTGGTTCAATTCGGGCGTGGATTCGCTAGGTAATTGAGAGTATACCTGTGTAATTCCTTTATATCTTCTTAGTGGATTGTTTTGTGGCTGTTGCCCGTGGTTTTTTTTTATCACAATTGGAGGTGTCCAGTTGTGGTTTTTTCACGTAAAATCGTTGTGTCAATTTGTCTTGATTGTTTGATTGGGATTGGTATGTATTGCTTAAAATTGATACATAATCACAAATCAACATCTAGGGGATTTCTAGATTTTTCAATGATGATGTGTTTATGATGATGATGTTGATGAAGATGTTGTTGTTGATGATGATGATGTATTGATAATGAAGATGTTGTTGATGATGATGATATATTGATGAAGATGTTGTTGTTGATGAAGATGATGTGTTGATGAAGTTGGTCTTGCTCAGTTAAGATGCTACGCAAGTTGGTCTTCCCTTGTCTGAAACCAATTCCAAATGTATGGAAACCAATTCCTCTTCTCTCACTGTGTTCTTCATCTTCAAAGAAAAAAGAAAAGGAAAAAAAAAAAAGTTTCCAAAACGAGATTGTTTTGGACTCGGGCCATTCGAGTCGTCTTCATTTTGAACAACCAAACGGAACTGTTATTAAAAAGTTGTTATAATTTGTTGCTGTTGATTCTACTTTCTACAAGACGGATTTCCACCTGATTCTTCTACTTCCTACATGACACAATTTTTAAGTCTGGAACAATAAAGTTGAGGGGATGCTATTTGCTGTTGGGATAGGTTCTGTTCTATTTTTGAAAGGTGTATGTGGTGGGTGTAGGTCTCACTATTTTTCTCCTTCATAATATTTTGATTGACAAATTGTAGTCACTATATTTTGGCTCTTATTTAATTTTGGTCATTTAAATATAATTGACTCACTTTTGACCATAAATTTGTGGTTTCGTATTGGTCCAATTAATTACTCCTAGTTGTGTTTTTTATAAAAAATGTGCAAGGGAGAAGAATGTGTCATAATTTTATAGACAAAATTAGAAATTTACTCAATTGAGTGAGTTAATTTGAACTAGCTCAATGACAAATTTTTGTTAAAACCCTAACCAAACGTGTCAATTAGACTAAATTGATATAAAACCTAAAATGTAGAGTAAAAATCAAGTCAATTAAAAATTTAAGGATCAAAATGACACAATTCGCAAAATGCAAATACTATTGGTGTAATTTTTCTTATTTTGATTTGAAATTTATTTTTTATTTTTTTTAAATTTCTTTTATGGCTTTTGGGAGCCAACTTAACTTCCTTTTTCAGGTTAATTACATTTGGTGTCTTTACACTTTTTTAGTAATTTCATTTTTACTCTTTTACTTTCAACTATCACTACAAGAAATGTCACTTTTGGCGACCAAAATATTGGTCGCCAAAAGTCACTTATTTAGTCGCCGAAACGATTTAGCGACCAAAATTTTTCGTCGCTAAGCTCGTCACCTTTACCCTGTCGGCGATAGTATTGGCGACTAAAATTTGTTTGGTCGCCGAAAGTGTACGCATTTGGCTACTAATCTTAGTTTAGTCGGCAAAAGGTATGTTTCCGCCACTAAAGTATTAGTCGCCGAATGAGGCTTTTTGGCTACTAACTTGTTGTGGTCGGGGAAGGTATCACTTTGAGCTACTAAATAATTGATCGCCGAAAGTACACATTTGGCTACTAATCTTAGTTTAGTCGACAAAAGGTATGTTTTGGCCACTAAAATATTAGTCGCCAATAGTTTCTTTCTCTCATTCTCAAATCTTTTAGCTACTAATTATTTGGTGGCAAAAACATTTTGAGCTATGTTTTTGCTACTAAATTATTAGTAGCCAAAACTTTTGATTACCTATTTGGCTACCAAAACATTTGGTGGCCAAAAATTAAACTAACAAAATATAAAAAATTTAAAAGTGAAATTGATGCAATTAGATCATCTCCAATGGTTCACCAAATGTTTCACCAAATTTAAATTTGGTGAAACATTTGGTGAACCATTGGAGATGATCTAATTGCATCAATTTCACTTTTAAATTTTTTATATTTTGTTAGTTTAATTCAATTGATAACACTTCTTTATAAATCATGTTGAGGCAAAATAATTTAATTACTCTCTTAAAGTGATTGGGAGGTTGGTGTTCAATTTAAAATGGTTCATTCCATTCTCAGTGGACTATTTTGTTGTTAATTTCTATCTAATTTCTAAATAAATATTATTAATTTGACTAAATTAACACAATGTGACAAAATCAATATAATTAAAAATACAAGGATCAAATTAACAAAAAAAAAAAAAAAAACAAAAACAAAAACAAAAACAAATTAGAGAGATTACGGTTATAATTTGCCAAACAACTTTTGCTCTGGTGCTTTTGCCATCAAAATCCATTTGGGGTTTTTATTTATTATTATAATTATTATTTTTAATATTGTTCGACATATTTGTGTATAATTGAACTTGTTGGGGGCTTGAGAGTATATTTCACATCATTAGATCGTGTTTTTAATTCTAGGCTTTTATGTTCAAGGGACATAAATGTTTCTAGCCCGTCCAAATTTGTTCCAACATTTGTGTACTTGTCAGAACGTATGCTATGAGATTGTTTGCCATGGTTATCCCTGTATCCAACATTGTGGAAGAAATTATCTTAAAGCCAATTGATGGCAACATTCCCTATTCCACTTTTCTAGTGTTGCCAGGTTCATACAATTTCAATTAAAAACAAATTGTTATTTTTAAAGTTGAAGTCTCATAATAGTTTAATAAATAAATTGGATTTAAGTCAAATTATGACAACATAATAGTACTAAAACGGTGGAACAAAAGGTTGGGAAGGAGAATGGGGATATGAGATCGGAATCTAGAATGGCTACGACTTGACAATAATTGCAAAAAGATCGGTTAGACTACTTCTAGCAGAGGATACCCTGTTTCTAAATATTTTTGTTTCTTGTTGATATTTTACTCCCCAAAATATTAGATCATGTTTCGAAATTCATATCTTAAAATTTTTACATAATTAAATAGTTTAAAATACATCAAGACAGAGAGATTAGAGAACAGGAAATTATATGCCACCATGACGATAGTACCTTTTTTGAGTTAGTATTATGATTCTCCTTTGAACAAAGTGGCTTTCACCATATAGTAAACTGGTTTTATGTGAATAGTCCATAGCCCATGATTCAATGACAGACAGATGTGCACTTCATAATCAAATATGATTGTATTAAAATAAATGGAGCCCTAATTTTTCCTACTCTATCTACTTGCAAGCTTAAGTGCAAAACACTCATACAGGCCGTGTTGTTTTTGCAAGACTGAATAATTTTTTAAATTTATGATTCGTTACACTAATCGATGATACTTTGTTTAAGACAATTATTAAACTGATTTCCATTATTTGTTACTTGTGCAGTTTCTAGGGTGTGCTTGCTCTCTGTTGCTGCTTTGTGTTGTTTCTGATTTATGAGTTGCTGAGCTGATCAAGTATAAACAAGAATTGTTTATTGATAAAGATTTGGATGCAATGTACTACTCCCCCCGTCCCAAAATATTAGTCTCTTATTCCATTTTTCATTGTCCCAAAATATTAGTCCCTCTTCAAAAATCAAGTACAAAAATAACACAAATTTCCTATTTTGTCCTTCTTTTAAATTAATAAACAATATAAAAGTACAATTATGACATTGATATTCCCAAAAAATGTACTATCAAAAGGATAATTTTGGAAAATTAACTTTTTTCAAATGCAATAATTGTACTACCAAAAAAAGTTGGATTCCCCAAAAGGGACCATTATTTTGGGACGGAGGGAGTATTAATAACAACGTCTTTGTTTTGTGCCATCATAATTTTTCCAAGAAGATTAATGCAACATTAAGACTCTATTTACATTATCAATTATAACTCATTTCTCAAAAAAAAAAAGGTATCTATAGAACTCGATTTTTCGAACTTACTTCACCAACCTATATATAGAACTGTAGGTATCTAGATGCAATTTGTTTTCTACGACCATTAGAATTTGACATCATAAAGAAGCTTCACAATATAGCATTTTCTACATGAAGAATATGTAAGCTACAATTCACACTACTATATTCTGTTGTTCAACCAGATTATCACTTGGTGGTAACAATGAAAATATGAAAAATGATGTCAATAAAGTAACCAATTAACAAGAAATGCAAAGAATTCTCCATCCTATTCTGAAGTATGTGGCTATGGAAACAAAATACACACTTCACATATTTTGAAGTACACAGTATAAAATTTTCATCTGTGACTCAATCCAAGAAATCCAAGCAGTATATTATGAAGTAAACAGTATATAATCTTAGAATGTAAAAAAAAAAAAGAAAAAGAATTGATTGAATAATGGTTCCACCATACATATACATTTATTTTTCCATTGCATGCTGGGTCTTTAAAAGCTCAGGTTTTCATGAATCCTGGTAACAGACAGATTATAGAGTACAACTGCCCATCTAATAAAGAAATTAAAATATCAGACCCAAACAAGTACATGTACTTAGAGTTAGTACCTGAACTACCAATGATGTTAGAGGCAAAGGAGAATCAGCAGAAGGTCCCACAGCAAATGCTTGAGCCATCCTCTCAAATTCACTGTTTACTAACTCATCATCAAAGTGCAATGTGCAATGTGGAAACATTTTGGCAGTTCGTAGGTTCTTCAACAGCTGTCACACCCTCCCTGAAATAAATAATTCTTCTTTATGATAAACAAGAGAAAAATGTAAAGAAGTGAATCCCAAAAGGTAAATTCAATAACTACCTGAAGTTCCCAAGCATAAACCCCGCAGTTGGTTTTCCCTGTACAGAATATCCAACTGAAAATTCACACTTGTTACGGTATCCATTTACCATGGTGATTCGACTATACCCTCTAGTTTGCATGGAAGACCCCCTGCTCCAAAATACAATCAGAGGATAGCATCTGAAACTATAACAAAAATAAAGAGCACAGTTTGCATCTCCATAGAGCAATGAAGAGTGTTCCAATCACATGAGCTCAATGAGCTCAATGCATAATTCTTCCCCAAAATGTGCTATCAATTAGTGTTTACCAAGAGCATTTGAATTTGGTGCTATCAATTTGTTTTGCTATTATAGCTTTATATATACATACATACATATATATATATTTACAGTAAAGTAGACTTTGCTAAACTATGTAAGCAAATTTTAGTAATTTTAGTCAAGCAAACTTTAGTTTTCAGTGAACGAAAATATAGAGAGAGCCTCATCTTGAGAGTTTGCTTAGGGCCCCAAAAAGTTCACAGTCTGCCCTGATTTTGAGCTAAGAGGAGCACGAAAACATATATAAACAAACACATACACTAAAAGATTATACCCGGAGGACATTGAATCCTTAATTTCCATAAATAAAATACGCCACTGGACCGTAATGATAAAAAACTGCACACTATAAATGCACTCACATGTAAATAACTAAACTGCAATCGGAATCAAATTGATAAGGAAATTCTATAAACTAAAACGAGCTCATCATGGAAACTTTCACAACAAATTTCAAGTATTTTGGAGCTGACCCAGGTGATCATTTCAACCCATTAACAAAACACAAACGATTACGTAGAGTAATTTCAAGAAAACAACAAATTATGCCTCCAAGTTACAAAGACATATATATATATATATATACGTTTATAGAATTCCCAATATATATAATCAAGAAAACATCCATTTATACCTCCGACGTGAATCTGTGGTGACTCGGCAAAGATCATCGATGGAGGAGGAAGAAGGCAAAATTCCCAAATCTATACGCCACTGGACCCCTCTGAGCAAGGGGCGTCCGAGCTCGCCAGTGTCAAGAACAGAGCTGCTATCAGAACAGAGCTGCAAATGGAAGACGAAAACCCTAGAGGCTGAAATTAGGGGAAGAGAGACTGAAAGATAGAGAGAGGGCAAAATAGAGAGAGGACATACCTGCCGTACCCGACGACGATGGAGACAAAGGCGAGAGAGAGAGCTGGAGGAGGGCAGAGGCGTGAGAGAGTGAGAAAGAGAGAGAAAGAGAGAGAGTCAAAGAGTGAGAGACAGAAAAACGAAATCTGAAATCTGAAGCCAATGAAATCGGAAATCTTAAACCTTTCTTTCCCGACCAATTTTTGTAGTCGCCAATGAAATTTCCCTCCGAAGTTTCCCTCCGAAGTCTGAAGCACAATTTTAAAATTTTGTAATTATAATCGCCGACTAAAATTTAGTCGGTAAAAAATATATTAAAAAAATATATTAAAAGTAACCAAAAAAATTTAAATAAAAGTAACAAATATATTAAAATTATATTTAAATAAAAATATAAGTAATAAAATTATAAATTAAAAATATTAAATTATCTTAAATATTTGCCCTAATATTTTTTTTACTGAAAAATATAATAATATATTTTAAAATTTTATAAATTTACTCATAAGTCATGAGTGAATTTTTTTTACACACTTAGCCCTCGTTTTGATAATGAAATTTTTTTCAAACTTTTTAAATATATGTTTTGTGTCTGTGAAATGATTATTTCATTAGTACTGGTAATAATATTGAAAAATTTATTAAAATGATAAATAATTGGGATATTTTGTCTTTTATTTGTGAATTTTGATTTATTCTTAATTTATTAGTGTTATTGAAATATGATGATGTAAAAAGTATAAATAGTTTAATTGTACTTTTTAAAAATAATAAATTTATTATTAAAAATTAAATTCATCAGACTAACCTGTAACTATGCCTTTAAATTTTTGCAATGTAAAACTATCGACAAACAGCCAATAACAAGTTGCCCATTTTAGCATACCTTTCGCGTGAGGGCCCAATTATTAAAAGATGTGTTCAACCATCAAATGAAAGCCGACTACTTCTTCCATCTAAAAATAATAATCTATTTTCAGAATTTAATTTCTTTTTATAATACAATTATTACATTTTAAAAATATTAATTTTTCAAAATTACCTTTTGATAGTATATTTTTTTAGACATATCAATTGTCATAATTGTACTTTTTGTATTATTAATGGATTTAAAAAAAGGACAAAATAAGAAATTCATATTATTTTAATAATTAATTTTTTTAAAAAATTAATATTTTGAGATAATAAAAAAAAATAAGATATTAATATTTTTGGATGGTGGGTGTACAACCTCTTCATAAAAATAAAAATAAAAATAAAATAAAATAAAATAACTATTTTGTTTAGTCAAATTTTCAAGTGGAGACTAATGGTATTGTTATTAATAAAATAAAATAACTATTTTGTTTAGTCAAATTTTCAAGTGGAGACTAATGGTATTGTTATTAATAAAATAAAATAACTATTTTGTTTAGTCAAATTTTCAAGTGGAGACTAATGGTATTGTTATTAATAAAATAAAATAACTATTTTGTTTAGTCAAATTTTCAAGTGGAGACTAATGGTATTGTTATTAATAAAATAAAATAACTATTTTGTTTAGTCAAATTTTCAAGTGGAGACTAATGGTATTGTTATTAATAAAATAAAATAACTATTTTGTTTAGTCAAATTTTCAAGTGGAGACTAATGGTATTGTTATTAATAAAATAAAATAACTATTTTGTTTAGTCAAATTTTCAAGTGGAGACTAATGGTATTGTTATTAATAAAATAAAATAACTATTTTGTTTAGTCAAATTTTCAAGTGGAGACTAATGGTATTGTTATTAATAAAATAAAATAACTATTTTGTTTAGTCAAATTTTCAAGTGGAGACTAATGGTATTGTTATTAATAAAATAAAATAACTATTTTGTTTAGTCAAATTTTCAAGTGGAGACTAATGGTATTGTTATTAATAAAATAAAATAACTATTTTGTTTAGTCAAATTTTCAAGTGGAGACTAATGGTATTGTTATTAATAAAATAAAATAACTATTTTGTTTAGTCAAATTTTCAAGTGGAGACTAATGGTATTGTTATTAATAAAATAAAATAACTATTTTGTTTAGTCAAATTTTCAAGTGGAGACTAATGGTATTGTTATTAATAAAATAAAATAACTATTTTGTTTAGTCAAATTTTCAAGTGGAGACTAATGGTATTTACTGAAAAATATAATAATATTTTATATTCTTATATTTTCTTATATTCTTATATTTTTAATAAAAAATTATGAGCCAGCTCAACCGGTGTTTTTTTTTTTTTGGGACTCCTGCATGACTAACTAGGCACTAATCAATATTTTTTAATTTTAGAACATGCAATATGTATATTTTCTCATAGATAACGACAGATGAAGAAATCATGTGTCAAGTGGATTTAATTAATTTATTATTCAGTTGTAACTAGCAGTCAAAATCATTTTCTCAAGCATATGTTAGCAGTCAAAATCATTAACGCATAACTAAAAAATATATACGCATAGCCCCAGTTTAGGCCTTCAGTTCAATTAGCATTAAATCGCCAATTACTTTTATAGATCCCTCAAATTTAAAAAAATATATATCTAAATAAAGTGAATTAAGTGAGTACTTATTTTGTATTTTAAAAAAATCACAAATATTTTCTTTTTTAAATATATCTAAATTAAGTGAGTCTAAAAAATAAACAAATTTGCTTAAAATATTTAAAAAAGTTGAAAAAATTAATTATTAAAAAATTAAGAAAAATTTTAAAATCTGAAATAATATCAATAAGTCTTACAAATCAGATTTATTTACTTATAAGTCATGAGTGAATTTTTTTTACACACTTAACCCTCGTTTTGATAATGATATTGAAAAATTGAAAATTTTATTTAAATGATAAATTATTACATTTTAAAAATATTCATTACATTTTAATAATATTACATTGTAATAATATTAATTTTTCATTACAACCCTACATAAATTACCATTACCTAAAGGAACACTATACCATTATTAAACAATCGGCTACCAAACTATTTAGTAGCCAAAAGTAGTCCTTTGGCGACTAAAAAGTAATTTAGTCGGTGAATCCCCTGTTTTTGGCAACCAAAATTTTGGTCGCCAAAGGTATTTTATAATTTTTTTATTTTCATTCGGCTACCAAACTATTTAGTAGCCAAAAGTAGTCCTTTGGCGACTAAAAAGTAATTTAGTCGGTGAATCCCCTGTTTTTGGCGACCAAAACTTTGGTCGCCAAAGGTATTTTATAATTTTTTTATTTTCATTCGGCTACCAAACTATTTAGTAGCCAAAAGTAGGTCTTTGGCGACTAAAAATTCTTTTAGTCGCCAATTGTGATATGTTTAGCTACTAAAAAATTTTTTAGTCACCAATTGTATTTTTTTTAGCTACTAAATTTTTTTTAGTCTCCAATAATCAACATTCCCCTACTAAAAAAAATTAGTAGCTAAAAGGTTGACTTTTGCCGACTAAAATTAATTTTGGTAGCCAATTCCCACACTTTTGGCGACTAAATTTGTTTTGGTAGCCAAAAATGGTCGGCAAAAATGTGTTTTCTTGTAATGTATGACAGTTAATTGTTTGTAAGTCAAATTACAATGTCACTCTTCCATTCATTCATCTGTTAATGAGGTAGATAAAAGAAGTCTGGGCTGTTGGAAAGAAGAGGGGGAAGGAAGACGATGGGGGAAGAGGATGAGAACAGGCTGAGAGTTGATTCACTATGCTCAGGTGTATGATATGATTTAAATGAACGGTGGGATTGGTTGATAGGAACTAGTTGTGATCTAGTGTGTAAGGTAAAAGTTAAAAATTGATATTAACTTAACGAATTAATGAGAAAATGACATTTGCCAAAAGACTTTCCGTTAATGTATTTAAACACCGCAGGTTAAAATTGAGATAAATTTAAAATTTTAAGGTTTAAATTAAAATTCTAGGGATTGATTTGTATTAGTTATCCCTAAATTTTTTGATATTATGTTGACAAATCACCATATTGAATGTAAGTGTAATGCTAGAGATCTCATAAGTTTATCAAATTTTTTATCAAATGTCTCACATTAATATTTGATGGGATTGATAGAAGTTTTAAAGTAAAAAAAAAAAAGATAAAAAAAAAAAAATTTGAAACTTAGTGGTGTTTGACAAAGGATTTTTTTAGTTTTTTGAGTTAAAATTTATAAAAAGACAAAATAGGTTAAAATAGATAATAAGATAAAATGCAACATCAAAATCCATAATTATTTCAATTTTTTTCACATGAATATCACATCTAACTATAAAAAAAATTCAATCATCTTTACAAACACAAATATTTTAACTTACTAAAATAACAAAAAACTAAAATATCTTACTAAAATACTAATTTTCCAAACGAGGCCTTAGAAAAAAATATGAAGAAACTTGAATGTGAACAATATGGTTTGGGTGTACTTGGAAAAAAATAATATTTTATTTTAAGATTTAATATTTATTGTTCTTAATAATAAATTTATATTAATGTATAATAAGAATTAAAATTTGAAATTTTTAATTAGACGTACAAAATTGTTATTTGAGTGCAAATAAAATCACCGTTGAGTCTAAGATTTTGGAATTTAAATTGGTTAAACTGGGCTTAGCCCATGAGTGGATTAAGTATAGACATTCTATCTCCACTTAAAAAAAAATTCAATGAGGGAGTTTGTTTGGGCTTTTCTGACTCAACTTATGGTTTCTAACTTTTGAAAAACTATTTTAGATTGTTTGGTTAAATTTATTTCAAACAGCTTCTGATTCTAACAACATATTTTAAGTCAGAAAAGTTGATTCTGCTCACCCATTGTTTCTAATTATCAGCTTCTGCTGTGGACATGTTAATTTATGGTTATACTCTTCGATATTTTTATTTTTTATTTTTTTTAAAATAGAAAAAGACCCAAATAGACTATAGAATATTATTATTATTTTTTATGAGAAATGTAGATAAGTAGTGAATAACAAATAATAAAAGTTAATTGAAAAAGTTACTTCACAGCTTATTTAACAAACACTACTCAACAACTTAAATTTATAATTCAACAGTTACACCAAACAGATTAACAGCTTCTAATTAAAGTCATAATCTCAAATCCGTTAAGTTATAATTTATAATCTGTTTTAACAGGTACACCAAACGGGGCCAATATCTTCAATTTCTCCGTACCCTCTATTAAATGTTTTAAGATTACAATTTACACTCAATATAATATATATCTAATATTTTTCAC